TAGTAGTAATAGTAGTAGTAGTAATAGTAGTAGTAGTAATACTAGTAATAGTAATAATAGTAATAGTAGTAGTAATAGTAGTAGTAGTAATAGTAGTAGTAGTAATAGTAGTAGTAGTAATAGTGGTAATAGTAGTAGTAGTAATAGTAGTAGTAGTAATAGTAATAGTAGTAGTAGTAGTAATAGTAGTAGTAGTAATAGTAGTAGTAGTAGTAATAGTAGTAATAGTAGTAGTAATAATAATAGTAATAGTAGTAGTAGTAATAGTAGTAATAGTAGTAGTAGTAATAGTAGTAATAGTAGTAGTAGTAGAAGCCTTGTCGGGATAGTCTTCACTGAAACTTGTCGGTGTAACGAGATTCTTTGTCGTTGTAACAATGACCTTTGTCGTTGTAACATGTTCTTTGTCGTGGTTACAACCCTCTCTAGGGCGGCGACAAGCGCGTGGATGCCCCAGTGCCTGGACGCTCGACATTCCATCAGAAACAGGTTATTGCAACCCACCAAAAGGGGTGGAACGGCGGAACCCACTGGGCTGGTTCCAAATGTTAGTCCTAAAAATGACCCTCAAAATTCGCTTCCCGAGCGGATGGCCCAAACAATTCGAACTTTTACTCGGCCACTAGAATGGTTTTCCCAAAAAGTAGAAAGTCCAGGAACTTGTGGAGTGAGAAATGCGTTTGTCTTGCTTGAGGGTACCACGTTTTTGTCTGTTTGAAAGGGAAACCAACAGGAAAACCACAATTTCCGGGATCCCAAACAACAAGACAAACCAAAGTGTTGATTTAAAGGGAAACCAACGGATCCAAACAAAGTTTAGTAAAGCCCGAGAACGGGTTTCTCAGAATATGGGTGTGGCTCAAAAAACAGAGCAAAAACTGGACCCTAGGTGAATAAAAAGGTAAACCTGAAGTCCCCTGTCTCCTGAACTTTGAGCACCCATACTGTGGATGGTTGCGGAATCCTCGAAACCCTGGAATGCCTAAGAAACCAAACGGAAGGATGATCCCAAATATCAACAAACGTTGTGGTTTCAACCATAGTTTCAAAGTGGTGTGAAGTATGACGGCACTTTACGCGTGACAGAAAAAACAGGGCGGTTTCGGAGGTTTTGTTGTTGTTGAATCGCCTCGAAGACCCGGCGAGCCTCAGGTTCACCGACAACTTGCTCTGCTCATCTGCGCCCACCACGGCAACCTCTGACGGGCGCGCGCTCCGCGCGCCGGCGAGCGCGGAAAAAACCCGCGCAGCAAACAGGGCCCAGCTCGATTCCAGTAAAGTGATTCCAGCTTGCAAAACCCATCGCTTCCAGTTTACACAGTAGGTAAGCAGGGGAAACCTTCATGCAAAACATAAAGGTAAGAAAGCTTGGCTACCTACGATGGTATCTGGAAGCGCTGGGAAGGGCAATCATGTGTGCAGCATCCTGGAAGTCATTCGATAGAACAAAAGGTCACCAAACAAAGACACATTTCCTGGAAGACTCAAATAGACCGGCAAGCCTTACTCAGCCCCTAACTGGCATTCCTGCATGGAGTTCTGTTTGCCCAAGGCAAACTATGTGAATCGTCAATCAACACGCCGCCCGCTGGATGATGAGGGGACCCCCCCCCCGTATGAATTAAGTGTGGATTGGGGGCTTCCGCAGGAAGGAAGTCTTACCGAAGCTTCCGGTCAGCTTTCATGACTATTGGAAAGAGGGTAGTAACCTTCTGAAATGGGTCTCTTAGAAGCTAAGAACTCTCTTGCAGGGTTCCGAATGTCTCTCATGGTGACGTTCAGACTTTGACGGTCAGGAAAAAAACACTTTCCTTGCAACCGCCGAACCATCTGCTCATTGACGACGTGGAGACACCAAAAGGCTGTACAACTCAAGCATTCCCCTTTATAGTAGGTCACCAGCCATTTCCCTTTTCGATGTGAAAGGGTGGTTCCCTTGATGACCTACTACACAGGGAACTGGAGTCACCGGGAGTCGTTGCTCATGCCGTTGAAGCGAAAGGCTTCACGATTCAAATGGATCGAACATGAGGCAAGCCCGGACAAGTCCCCGGACATGAGACAATCCCTCAGGCCCTGTGGACAGAGGGGTTCCCCAAAAGGAAAGCTTTCGTCTTCCAACCCCCTCCTGTCAGCTTCCATGTTAGTCTGAGGGAGTGTGCCCTCAAAAAACACCGCGCAGCCTGTCTCCTTTTACACCGGGCAGTTGATCCAAGCTTTTTGTCAACTCACTTCCTGAGCGGCTTGGCCAAAAAAGCCAAGCCTTGCCCTAAAACAGCACACACCTTTTACTCACCACTACAATGATGTTCCCCCAAGAGACCAAACTGGGCTATCCTCAGATCCCCCGCTAAAAGTTTACTTTTGGTGGCTTTTAATGGAGTTCCAACCACTAAACACCAAACAAACTGAGAAAAAAAACCATCTGAAGAACCAGATGGCTGGTTTTCAACCACCAAGTCAAGTCCGACTCTCCCGGAACTCGGACATCGAGGCTCCACTGGGTGTCCCTGCGTAGTTCCACTGCGCCAGCTGCGCCTCTCTGACCTGGAGTCGAACACAGGACTCAGATGCCCAGAGCTTTGGGCAGAGCCATAGCCACAGCTTTCAGCTGTTGGGCTGGGGAAGTCAACGTCGGCGCGAGGTTTGACCCATCCTCACAGGCGGTGACCAAACTCGAAAGTGGTTTGTGCCCCGCCGCCCCAGGTTCTAAGAAACCCATTACAAGGTGGGAGCCGTCATATTCCGGCGGCGGGCCCGCCGACAGGCCCGCAAGTACGACAAGTGGGCAGTCAGTGGATTTTGCCGTGGGAAAAACAATCGGCATCCTTGGGCACCCGATTTCTTGGTTGGTGGACTTTAAAGGGAACTCGTCCCAAAAAAAGAGAAGAAAAAAAGGGGCACCACTGGGCAGCTGGGAGGACGCAATGCATCATGATGGCTATTGCCCCCAGTGCGAAGCATGAAAAGTCAATTGCAGGTTAGTGGAAACTCTTCAAATGTCCCAAGTGAGAGTTCAAAGATACAAGCAACTCCATAGTCGCTCAAGCCCCTAGTTTCAACCGGATGAATCGCCTCACCCTCATCCCCAGTGCCGCCTTCTTGTTGAGCGTCTTGCCGCTCGTCTCGGCCTGTGGCTCAACGTGGGAGGGACCGCGTTTTGTTTTTCCGAAGACGTCTGTGGCGAAGTGGATCTATCCAAGGGCTCCACCCGATACAAACACCGAAAGGAAAATCCTTGGTTACCTACTCTGGGCTGCCCTCAGGTCCCCCAGCAACAAAAATATCAACTTTTAGCGGTTTAAATGGAAACTACCGCTAAACACAAAAAAGCAAAAAGGCTAAGGGGATGGCTGGGAGCCACCAATCAACTAGAAGATGAACTGAAATTCCACTGGGACACACATGAGCGACTCTATAAACCTCCCATGAACCCCTATGTCGTATCAAGTTGCTTACGCGCGAGCTTGCGCTTTCCTTACGCGACCCATGTTTTAGCTTATGTGGCAGTCAGCGAGCATGTTAAGCTTACGCATGGCTTACGCGTGGGCGTTTTGAGCGTTTCCCCTGATGAATTGCTTACGCGAGCTCCTTTTCTCATGCAGCCGCCAGAACTTGTCAAGATGATGTGGATGACTCTGAGGAAGAAGATGACGAAGAACTACCCTCGCGCGTTGTTCTTGCTGCACGTCAAGACACGGGTTATGCGGCAGCGGCATCCATAACGAGGGCTAGCTAGTGGGCAGCGCAGCTAGGCTGAGCTTACGCGAACCTTACGCACCTGCTTATGCGAGCTTACGCGCCCGAGCCCCTTTAGGTTTCCTAGGTCACCGGTTTCAGAAGCATTTTGTTTGTCGTAGTAAAGGTTGCAACAGCATCTAGCATGAGCCCCAAGAGCTCCCCATCAAGGTATTCTTACTGGTATGCGCATGCGGTCTTAGACGTCTTCTTGCAGCCAAAGTCTCCGGGCAAGTTGCCAAGTTTGACTAGGTTGCAAGAGCACAAGCCACCAATAATATATCAATATCATAAGCACAACTCTTCTAAGCATGCTTACAAAGCTTACCTAGCAATCACGAAGAGCTTACGCGGCTGCTTACGCAGCTTGTTTCCTCGAAAAGTGCTTACGCCGGCTTACGCCGTGCAGGGTTTACGCGGGGCCTTATGACACAACTCTTGGGATGTAACGGGGGTTTTTAGAGCTGCTCACCTCGGTTGCTTTCTGCTCCCCTGCTAAAGGTTTAACTTTTAGTGGTTGAATGGAAAATCCATTGGTTGGCAAAAAGTTAAAGTCCTAACATCCCTTGGCAAAATGCATCAAAGTCACATGGTGTCAAAGTGGGCGTGTCAAATTTCGGGGAAATTTGGGCCCCCACAATGGCAACGCTTCGGGCGCAGCCTGTCCTTTGGGTTTCCCCTCACAAAGCTCCCACTGAACCAAGAAGCCAGCCCCAAAATTGCTCGGGATTCTTCCCAGCATATGTTGGTTCCCCAGAATCCCATCTCAAAAGCCATCAGGCGATTTAGAGCTCCCAGGAGACCAAGAATCTATAACACTTGGTCTCTGAGAATGGAGCGCCTCAAGATATGAATCCCTCAAGATGCGATTTGCCTTGGATCTCTCCAAGAACGACCCCAAGCAGCAAAATTCCGCCTGCACAAGGTACCCGCTTCCTTGTTGTGTCTCTTCAAGCTGGCCCCAAACCGCGCTTTTGAGCCAGTTGCCGAGGAGCACCGAAGGAAACAGCCTCAGAGGGTCTTTTGTCCATACTTTGCCTGGTCCTAACGACCTGTCTGGCTGGCCGCTTCAGCGTGCCTCGGCGTGGAACCCGTAATTGTTCAGCTGGCGCTCGACCTCTGTGAGTGCTCCGTGGCATGTCAGGCGTGCCCGCTGCTTCCAAGGGACCAGGATCGTCAGTTGCTGTTTTGTTGAAACCCCATGCACTTTACCCCAAAAACCGATCGCAACAGTGACTGAAAAAAGACGATCGCAATTTGGCTATCTAGGGAATTTGGAGAGTCCAGGGAAATACTTTGCGATACAACCAACGGGGAATTTCGAGGGTCCGGGCAAATATTTCCCAACAACCTCTTGGGGACTTCCAAAACAAACCTCATGGAGACTGGAAGCTTGAAGCTTTTCCAGACACCGGGTCGGAAACAGGAAACCTTTGACTCAAGCACAACGCACACAAAGAGAAACACAAACACAAAGAGCAACATACAGACGAGTTATTCTTAATGCTCCTTACCTGGCAAGCTGCACAACCATCCCTGTTGACCCCAAGTAAACGTCACTATGGTACGTGTAAAATCAGTCACACCCTTTGCCAGGGTCAAATCTGCGGGCCTAACACAACTCAGAGGTCGTTTTGGGGGAAGCTTTCTGCCATTGGAAACCGAGCCATTTGGCTCCTTGCCTCGTGTGGGTAAATGGTCATCCATCCTCCTACCAGAACGGGGAGGGGGGTGGGGGGTTTGCAAATTCCATTTATAACTAGTTTTCCCCATGCGGAACATGGGACCGTATGTGGAATTCCGGGGCCACCCCAATTCCATTGTTACGGGGGGTAAATGATCATCCATTTCCGATCGCTCTGCAATTCCCGGAAAAACCCAGTGCCACACGGGGCGTATGGTTCCTGACAAACTGACTGCAAGTCCACAAGCCGAATTGGGGCAACAAAATTCCCAGCACATGTGCATGGGGAAAAAGGACATCCTTTTGTTGGCTAGTTGGTTTTAAACACCGCCATCCTGTTTTTTGTTTCTCCGTTTTTTTGTTTTGTTTCTCCGTACTTGATTTTTACAGGGAGCTCCCTTCCAAAAGAAGTCAGACAGCCACAACTGAAGGTCAAGGATCTGGTCGATTGGAGCGCTTTCGGGGAGCGAACCCAGACAGCATAGTCGTTGAACAGCGCGCCGACTGGCACGACCATCACCTGGCTGGTTCATGCTGTCGTAGTTTTCAATTGGCAAATCATTGTACAACCCCTGAGCAAGAATTACTAGAACATCTACAACTCGCAAACTGGAGATAAGGACCACTGCCCATGAAAAGCGCCTTCATCATGGGTGAGCTCGAATAAACCCCGGAAAGCCGGTCAGAAAGCGCTGATAACCCAGGAGCCACCCAGCCCCGCCACCCGGTTCTTCCATTTACCCTGGGGTTCAACCATCATTAGAACAAAGGCTTACCCAATTTAGATGATGACAATCCTGACAAATACTGGTGGTTGTATGAACCCCCATTGTTTTAATGGTGGTTTGAACCCCAGGGATTTCTTACCCTGCAGGGCGCGAACACAAGGGGCCCCTGCAACTTGGCCCGAATGGGCAAAGGGCAGCTAGGTTGCCCACAAGTCTGTACATGTACTATATATATAATATATATATATATATATATATATATGTATATGTACAAGACGGTTTCGGAAACCCAACGGAATGACACGATTCCCCTGCAAATACCAACAAACCATGGCTTATCCTGGTTTCAAAGTGTGCAAATAAACTTCGTCCATCCAGAGCATGTATATAACATACATGTGTATAATATGTATATATATATATGTATTATTATATCTATATATATATATATGATAACAGTAAGTAAGCAGCTTTTTTCCTTCAAGTTGTGCACGATGTCTTCCCCTGGTTGCATACAGCCATAGCAGCTGGAAGCACTATGTTGGAATGGGTATCCTTTACGAGGGGTTGGGCAAGAGGGACACCAAAGGCCACACACACACACACACACTCCAGTTTGGGGTTCGCTTTGGAGACAAACCCGCATGAGTCAGAATCAAACCTTGCAGGTTGACGTGGTCTTCCCAAAGCCATGGAAAAAACAAAAACAACAAAAACTGGCGGAGTCAGGCAAAGAGACGTGGTCTACTCAAAGCCATGTACCATAATTTAAACGATGGCTGGGCCTGTACCGCTGGCAATGTCCCATACCCTCCCTCTGACCCGGGTTTGGTTGTGGCAATTGCCGAGCGTTGACCCGGGATGTGGATGGTTTGTCACTGTGGGTGGATGGACGAAATCCGCTTCTGGCACCAGGGTGACACCATGATTGAAATCATTGTCTTCGAATCATTCCGTTGGGTGACTTCTTATGTGCTGCGAATTGGATTTTGTCCATCCACAGTATCACTCTCTCTCTCTCTCTCTCTGTTGCGGCCAGAGACCCTTCTAGCCACTTCCAAGCCCCAAACTTCCCCACAAGCACTCTCGGATTTGGCGTGTTTCTGTCCACAACTTCATATACCCGTGTTGGCGGCTAATTGGAAACCCATCCAACAAAAGAATCGGAAAGGGGGGTGTCTCCTTGGTGTCTCCTTTCAATGCATCGGGGGTTGCTCCAATTGGTACATTCGCATTTCCCAAAACCAAGGCGGTTCCATGCGCCTACCTTCAAAGCCGAAAGTCTTGCCAAATGGGGCTTGATAAATGGGGCTTGATCAGAATTCTCTGGCTTGATCAGAATTCCTGGCCCCCAACTGACCATGGGTAACTTTTCCAGCCGGAGCCTTTACACCAAGGGGTACGTGGTGCCCTCAAACAGCCAAACACTCATTTGCGCGTGCGGGGGGTGATCCTTTGCCACTCTCCCGGCCTGGCGAGGGGACAGCCAGAACGGCCACTTCCCAGCCTCAGAAACCCAAGCTGAAAACCACATGGGTGTTTATTCAACAGCTGCTGGGTCTTTGCCCGGATCTCCTGGGCTCTAGGCTAGGGATCCCAGGAGGTTGGGCGGTTCTCGGGAGGATTTTTTGGGATGGGGGCAGTTCCGAGGTGCCCGGTTCCGGGGATGCGCGGGGGGAGCTCCGACTTCTCAAGTCGCGCAAGCGTGGCCTCATGCAGTTGGGATATCACCCGAGCTTTGGTTTGACGGTATCTGCCGGTGGTACCTGAACTCCATGTGTTTCTTAAAAACGCGTTGTTGCGCGCAAAAATGATGGGTGAATTCCTTCTTAAGTACAAGGGTAGCTTGAGGGTGCCCGGCTTTTCGGGGATGACAAGGGAAAACACGGAAGCCCTCTTGAGGCCCAGAAAGAAAAGAACCCAAGGCGTTTAGACTCCATTTCCCTCGGGGTAGTTAACGCCAGCGCTGAGCTGCAGACGTAGTGCTCCATGAGAATCGCAGACCTGGGGTCATGGGTAACACCGTGTATATTTCCGGGCGTGTTACCGTGAGCCTTCGGGTAATTGCTGAAAAGGAAAAGGAGACGACCATCGCAGCTTTCAAAGCGGGACAGCATAGGCGTAACCAGTAAATTACAACCAGAAACTTAGAATATAACATCGACCACCCAAGGCCAACGGTCAATCTGCACAACCGATGGGAGACCATACAGCACCGGTGCCTACCTGCATAAAACCGATGGGCCAGGGCCCAAACCCGACACAGCAATTTCGTTCCGGATTGCATAAGAGGGACACCAAAACGAAACCACCCTAGGGTTCCAGCACCCACGCGGAGACTGTAGGTCGTCCCGGAAGTATTACATCACTCAACCCAGCTAGGCACACTTCCTGCAGCGAATCGAAAACACCTTACAGGCTTCACAAGGGAATTGGCGCTTCATTCATTGGATTACACAGAGTGCCTTGCAGGATAAATCCTACAATCACCCTCTTGACAAGGACTTGGATCCTCTAAAACAGCTAGTATTCCCGAAGTTGCTTCCAAGGGGTCCTTCTCAGCCCACCTTTGGCTTTCGCTTTGACTCTTTGTTGAAGCCTGCTCGCCTTTTCAACAGGACAAGTACCCATTGTAGCTTGGCTTCAAGAAAAAGGAACAACTCGGTTGCTCCTGAGGGACCCGGCAACAAAAGGTTAATCCTTTCCAGCACTCTCACGCAAAAACTGGACCAACTCACGGAAACCTAATAGTCTAATCAGGTCGATTCGCTTTGCGAGTGAGCCCTTTAATTCAGCTTAAGGGAATCACTCGCTGATGAGGAATTCTCCTATAGGGGCGAACTTATGGGGCGCTGAACAACTTGGGTGCTGCAGATGCCCGAGCAACAAGTTTATTTGTTTGCTGGTTAAAAAGGACACATTCATGAGGGGTGTCCAAAAAAAGTTAAAGTCTAAAGATCCAAGCCAATAGCAGTACCTGGAGTCTCTTTAAAAATGGGTCCATGACTCCTTTATTTTGGGTGACCAACCATTTTGATTCGGGTCATGGAGACTCCAGGTAAACCAGAGCAGCCCATCCATGTTTAACCAAAGTAACCTAAAAAGGGCAAATCCAAAAGTTTAACATCCAGAAACTCGGGGAGTGAGCTTGCCCAAGTTTTCCTTGTGGCTGTCATGAGAATTCACTCCCTTGGGGCGTTTCCACTCCGCGAAACCGGTGGGCTCTTCGGAGGCCGCGGCATGCGCTCAATGGAGCCCAGGATGGCCCGGTGGATCACCACCTCAGATCGTCAAGAGATGGGTTTCTTTCTCGGTTTCTACCCCCAAAAAGGGGTCGTCAAAATGGCAACATGGGTTCCCTTTTTGGACCTATACTCGGTTTCTTTCTGCTCCCCTAAGTGAAAACTTTAGTAGTTTAATACGGAAAACCCATTAGTTGGCAACAAGTTGAAGTCCTAACATCCAAGCAACATGCACCAAAGTTTTGAACACAAAAAGGGTGCGTTGGATGGTGAACAATTCGGAAGCCCAACCACTAAACCAACTAAAACCAACGTAAACAAACAAACAAAAACTGTCTGGAACCGGATTGGCTGGGAACCACCAAGACGAGACTGGGCTTCTCTTGAACAAAGCAGGTGTGTTGGGTATGTGTCAAAGACGCCATGGCGTATGTCCCTTGCATTTCCCTCTTAAACCTGAAATTCAGCAGGTGTCCCGGGATACGTCCCCATGGTATTTGAATAAATGCTGGCCCATGGTATCCCCGTACCGTAGCTGACAGCTAATATTGACTGCTGTTTGGTTTTGCTAGCCCGCAGTTCACGAGTCCACGAAGTGGCTGGGTAGCGCAAATCCTTCGGAATGGCAACTTCTTGACCAGGAGAACCCAACCACTTACTACGTGCGGGGGGTGATTCAAGAAGCCCAGTTGAAACAAGGGGGCACTCAGTTATTCAGTAACTCTGGAAAGAAAAGGGAACCCTTTTTTGACCATTTTTAGTGGGGCAGCCACCAAAAAAGAAGGGGGAACAGGGTGCTGCTGCACAACTGAGGGCATTTCCGGGGAAAGCTACGAGGCACGTCTCCGGCGGGGTCCGGAGGATCTGGAATCCCAGTTGAAGGACTTGTGAACCGCTTGAGTCTCCATGACCCGTGGAAAAAGGGTCATAACCCCTTGGTTTTGGGTGACCAACCATTTTAAAGGGTCATGGAGACTCCAGGTATACAGGTCATTATCGCTTCCCGTTTCCCCTAAACGTGTGACAATTCGGGCTGGTCCGCTGGTGTGTTTGGTTGGACATGTTTAGAGCTCGTTCCCCATATCCCGAACCCCAATGAACCATAGACAAATCCAGAACTTTCGACCAAAGCTCATAAATGGCCTGGCCCCAAGTTCAATTGATGGTTTTGCCGCGTTGCTTGTGGCTTCGCTTTCAGCCAACCTCAATGAAGGTAGTCCGCAAAACACCAACCTGAATCCTCAAAAAATCCTTGAAAATTCGGATATTGCCCCGAAATTATGGGGCGAACTCCCCCTGTTTTTTGGTAGTTTGAGGGTGCAGGAGGTCCAAATGGGGCCCCGGTCTCCCTACCCTCCGCGCGGATGGGGCTCGGACGGGTCGCTCGAAGCCGTTCTTCAGGCGGCCCTCCCGCCAGATCACCTGCCCAGGAAACAAAGGGGCATGGCGGAAGGGCCTTGGTTGCTGTTGACCCCACTGCAAAAAGTTTAACTGTTTTTGAGGTTTCGTGGAAAACACCTTGATTTCCCAAAAAGCTACAGTCTAAAGATCCAACCCAATAGCAGTCAAGGGGTTTCAAGCAAGACCGGTCAACAGGAGGCATATGGAGGAAAGCCGTGAGCAGCTAAGAAAGCAAGCCCTTCAAGTGGAAGGTCTTCACACTGCTTCCAGGCAAAGGGTTTCAATTTGTTCTCCTCTGAGAAATCAACTCGGATTTTGTTCGTCTTTCCCGGAAATCCACAAATGGCACCCAGCTCAGGATGTTCCACCCCTCGGATAGGTCTTTGGGCCCTGGGCGGTAGGGGTGGCTGTAAAAAGCCAGCGAGTTGATCTGCAATGGCAGGACCTACATCCTATCAGAGACCCGACCAACCCCAGCCCAAAGCCGCCTACCCCCAGCGGTGAATGGGGTTAACAAGCCTTAGTGAGCCAGGTAAGGTCAAATCAGGCTAGATGAGGCCTTCAGGCCACAAATCTTGGGGGATGAGGATGTAGGCTCACCATCTTTGATCCTTTTTTTGGTCCCATGAATAAATCTTTAAGGCACAAGGAAACGGGGGATACAGAAAAAGAACCTCCATATATATATATATATATACGAACCCCTGGTATGAACCCCAAGTTGGGATAATCCACCGTGAGTTGTGGCGTAATTCTGGGAACTCGTCAAAATGGCAACATGGGTTCCCTTTTTGGACCACTACTCGGTTGCTTTCTGCTCCCCTGCTAAAAGCAAAACTTTTAGTGGTTTAATGGAAAACCCATTAGTTGGTCCTAACATCCAAGCAAAATGCACCAAAGCTTTCACACCCTGCGCAATGGCAAAATCACACATTGCAAGCCAGTGAACTCTTCCGAATCACCAGTCCATTCAGGCCATTGCCAAGGGCGAGCGTCAAATGTCACAAGTATGCACAATTCTGCTTCGAATCATGCTTATGCCTTTGGTCCGACTTTGACACCACTGTGAACTTGGCCAAGATTTGTGTGTCTCGTCAAAGCCGGTGCTGAAGTCGCCCGTGAAAAAAAACACAAAAGTGTACCGTTCTGGGGTTCCATAGTTGACACACACACACACACGCACTCACCTAGGTTTTAAAGGGAAACCCACAGTTAGACTAGCATTCCTCCAGGTTCTTCATTGACTTGAGCCCTGAGACAAACTTATTCTGGTATTTGCGGATATCCTCTTTGGGATTGCTTGAAAGGGGAAGCAAAGGAAAGCCGACCATTTCCATTTTCCCCGGGAAAGGAGGGGTTGCCCTTTTCGTCGGGGCAATGAGAAAACTCCGCCAACGGAGCTGCTCCCCAGCCAGAAGTCTCAACCCAAACGCGGGATCCAGGCCGAGCGTCCCTTTCAAGCAGCCAAGACAAACTAAAATCGGCACACCCATTCTTAGACCCTGGGTCCCCGCCCCACCTTATCCCCCCTCTTTCCCTCGCCCTAATTTATTGCCAATCTTCCATTTGCTTCTTCGCGGAAATATGTCCAGTAGTTATATCAATTCCCTTTCAGACAAGCAAGGGACAACTTGCATTTCAGCAAAAGGAAGCTATTAAGGCCGTAATTTGCTATACCTCGCCCAATAAGGCTCAGTAACCCTTGCT